CCCCCTTCATTAATTGTGTAATTACAACCCCCCTTCATTACTTTTGTTATTACTAACCCCCCTTCACTACTTGTGTTATTACAACAACCCCACCCCCTTCATTACCTGTTTAATTACAAACCTCCCTTCATTACTTATGTTATTACAAACCTCCCTTCACTAGTTGTGTTATTACAAACCCCCTTCATTACTTGTGTAATTACAAACCTCCCTTCATTACTTGTGTTATTACAAATCCCCCTTCATTGTTTGTGTAATTACAAACCTCCCTTCACTACTTGTGTTATTACAAACATCCATTCACTTGCTGTTTAATTACATACCTTCATTCCTTCAATCACTAATTGTGTTATTACAAACCTTCCTTTACTTGCTGTGTAATTACATACCTTCAATCAATAATTGTGTCATTACATGACTCATTCATATACCTCCTTTTACTTGTTGTGCACTACCTCCTTTTGCTAGTTGTGTGCGTTGCTACATCCATTTTCTAGGTGTTATTATATACCTCTCTTCACTGCAATGAAGTTTGATTATTAACCTTCGTTCACTACCATGTAGTTGTGGTATTGCATACAAGTACCTCCCTTCACTTCAATGTACACTGTAGTTGTATTGTTACATACCTCCCTTCACTTGTTGCGTGGACATATTTGTTCCTGAAAGCATTGACTGTTAGTCTTCCTGCAAATGCAGCATCCTGTGGGTCATCTCTGAGGCACCGTATGTGAAATGGAACAGAAGTTTGTGTTACGGGAAGGACCAGTGCAGATTGAGGCTGAGAGACAATGGGGTCTAAGACAGGATCCTTTCCATTCTGAGGTGTCATTATTTTGGACGGCTAGTTTTAAAATTGTAAAATAACTGTGATTCTGAAATAGAAGGAACATTGCTAGTTTTAACGCTTCCATAGATATAGAATGTAACACCTAATTATAACAAGGCAAAAGTATTTCTAATCAAATATAAGAAGCTTAAACAGCAATATCTTAAATTAATATTAAAACAGTTTGGTAATTTGCCAATAAGTCCTGTTAAAATAACAGTATCATAACAGCATTTTGCTTTAAAGCCTTATCTTAGAAGATATCACATAAACAGCTTCATGTCTGTATGACCCCATTATCATTTAAACATAATTAATTACAATTGCTTTGCTTTTTATAACATAGAACTCTCACTGTTGCAAAGTCCGAACACATTCTTATTTCTTTATTTAGCGTGGCTAGTGTCTACTTGTTAAGACTAGTACTCATTATTTTTGCTAAAAGTTACTTCAGCAACCTACATATGTATTGTCTTAACTGAATGTAAGATACGATAGGTTCGCTCAAAAAAATAAAAGTGAGACAGTCAGTGAATATGACCATCTCCTTTTAAATGTTTAGTCAGTGTCAGTTATATTTGTAGTCCGCCAAAACAGTCGACCGATCGGACACAATTTTGGAGCCTGCGATTATGAACAGTTTTAGCGGACTACGTCAGCTATTTCGGACTAACGTAGGTCTACTAGTTACTACTTCAGGATAATGTTAACATGTCGAATCAGAGACATGTGTATATTGATGGTTAAACATATAATTAGCCTATGGATTTAATTACGTAGTCCAACATTAATATTTGTTAATATTACTAAGTGACCGGCTGTTAGATAAACTGTCGATACATACCACGTGATCTCATCGGAATGCATGTAAACACAAAAACCTGAGGATTGTTAATAAAACATCATCACTGTTACCATAATCTGAAATACATATTTATTGTAGGGGAACCCAGGTAAAAGAACATGAAAGACACTGTCAGATTTCAGATTTATGTTTAGACGGAAGTTGGCAGAGCAATACACTATAGGAGTCGGTTGGGGACAAAATATACGGATTTGCTTTGCATTGTCAGGCTGCGAGTGGTTCGATCGATCTTATTTCATTCGAAATTTTAGGTCAGGAAAGACGTTTGCGCTAGGGTTTCGTTTTAAATAATTTTCAATGATGCTCAAAATTGATTATATAAATGGTGAATCTTTTTATAGTGATAGACTAACATCAAATTAATACTAAAACATCGATATCTACGACAATACACCAGAGGTGGTATGCAGATTAGTGGAAGAAGAAGGTTCAGTATTTCACACTGATATATATATTATAAGATGTTTTAACACTCAAATTTATTGGTTTTTCACGGATCAAACGTGATGCCATCTTGCCGTTAACGTTGTCGGCGTCTTCGTAAAATTACCGCCAATATCCGGAGAAACTAGTAAGTAACTTTAAGACGTAAGTTATTTTCAATTCCAACCTACTAATGAGAGTTCATGTGCAACAAGAAGGCCCAGAGATGATCATCAAACTGCTGAGTGTACCAGACATATTTTTAGTAAACACGAACGACTAAGGACAATAAATTAGTTTCTTTTATCGGGAATTTTTGGTCACGTCCAAGATGGTGGAAAACGAACAAACATATCCTCTCTGAACAGATACGCGAAGTTAGCTAACACATAAACGATAGTTATAACGGTAACTTTCAAAAGCAGTGTGCGTAACTGAAGATACACGTTGGGCTTCTAGAATGTTGTATATCATGCATATGATATCAACACGTGCGCACGATATTCACGAATGTGTTTTATTCTAACTCTCTGTCCTTTTTTCAAATATTTGTCTTTATATAAACGCATGTAACGATTACTATGCTTGTGGATTTCAGATACAACTTGAAAAAATATCCATGGTCGACAGAATCATTTCTGTGTTTATTTCAAGTTAAATCATAAAACCGACCACACTGACAAGACATAAAAATAATGTTGGAAATGATAAAACGTCTACAAAGCAACGTCAAATATGAAAAAACGACGTCATTTTAACGTTACACAATGTGTCACCAACTAACATCGCAATTTTACAAAAGAAGTAAATGTCCCGACACGTGGACAGAGCCCATTGTCTTCCTCACCAGGGCGCGAATAGAGTGAGATATCGCCAATAAAGGAGCTACAGTAGGAATCAAAAGGTAATAAGAAATAGAGAGAAAACCAAATATCCCAATTATTGCGATGGTTCACACGTCATTTGGTCGTTTTTGTGTCATTTGTAGTAGAGAGCACACACGCAAATCTCCAATTCTGCAGGGGTTACCACATTAGTCGTCTCTAACGATCATGCAGTGGGTTACAGCAGGTGTATTCTTTTTCGCTATCGCCGACCTGCAGGAGAACCCTTTCCAGAAAAATAAAATCTTGTCACGTCCTTCAATATCACTGTCAGATATATCGACGATATGTTGCTTTGTTCCCCAAGGTCGTCACACGTATGGAATATTCAGAGAAAAGGCTTTATCCAGCCCACACAACTCCAACAACCCAGGTGGAATATAAAATGGTCTGGGGTGGATGTTACGGTATCTGTGCTGTAGCTTTCAAGTGAGGTGGGACTATAAATGATGCCGTTGGAAGCACGGTCCCACTACAAACAGAACACAATACACAATACACACGCAGTCATACACCCTTGAGGAGATATTAGCCAGGTGGTATATGACTAGTAGTTATATAGCGCCTGATAAGGCAGATTCTACGAATTCCTTAAAATTGTATTGGCAAATACATGTATATATTCTAATTGTATTATTAGTACATCTTATTACTTTGAAGCGCTTTAGAGTGGCTTATTCTAGCTAGACAGGGAGTTATATCAATTGTTATATATTATTATTATTATTTAAATAACAGGATACTTATTGAACATGTCAAACTAGTATGCTCTCCCCTTGAACTTGAAAAAGAGGAAACCACAGAGGCACCTTGTACATCCGCCGCTAACCCCAATCTTTACTTACAACAAGATTAATAGAGACTGCTTACTATTATTTGTATGAGGGACATGAACTTTCCTTTCTTGATAGTTATATCTCTGCTTCAATCACATACAGATATTCACGTATTTCCCAGAATATAAACGATTTCATTGGCATATATTTACCATCGTATGGCCATTGCCACTTTATAACCCCAGCAAATTCAGTTGGCATTCATATAGGCTATGAATGCCATGGAATGATTGTTGACGTCATAATTGTTACGTTGGATACCACTGACCCTCCCTAGGAGATGACTGTTTTATTCATTGAACAAGCATACACGATACATGTAATTGAATTTTCTATGAAACGAACAGATTCCAAAAAAAGGAAATATAAGTATGGAACTACTTTCAGTTGGCATTCATAGGAAAAATGAATTTAAACTCGACAAAGGCAATTCCAACATGAAGTGCTAGCGCGCTTCATTGAATTTGCCTTTGTCCAGTTGGCATTCATAGTTTTCACTTTCAGGGCATGACAGTAACGGATTTGATCTAGATTTACATCGCCGGTGTCGTCGTTGATGCAGAAGACGCGTATTATACCCTCCCGGAATATCTGGTCTTATTCTCCGTGTAGTTTTTAAAGACCTTGTGTGTAAAGTGTACATCTTTCCTTTGTTCATATTTTACTTTTGTATCATCGGTTTAGAGTTCGAAGTTCAGTATTGTTTTCACTTTGGTGTTTTACCTGTGTTTTGTTTTTGTTTTTGTGTGTTGTCAGTAAAATAATGACAGCCGAGGTTCGATTATCCAATCAGACGTGAAAAGGTATTGGGTTACCTGTCCGACAACTAGGATTTCCCCCAGTACTCGATCTGGTTTCCCTCTCTCCCCTCTGTGCGTGTCCCTCCGGACTAAGTTGATAGAACCTAAGGAACTTCACAATTTTTATAAAATAAAGTAAAAAAATCAGTTTTAAGCTTCATAGCCTGTATACGAATATGAATGCCTCAGTAGTAACGTTCCAGCCTCTGTTTATATACTTTACACGTCACCGTTTCATTTTCTGTTCCAGAGCCTGTTCTTAGGAACAGCATCTGCTGCATTCATATTAACTTCCGTTTAATCTGAGGATCTACGGTGTCTTCCCTTTTGTGTTGATGCCTTCACAGTTGTTAATGTCTTTTTGTTTTAACTCTGACCTCCTTATTCGGACGCCTGGCTAGTGACCGAAGGGTTGCGGGTTCGAGTCATGTCTCGGCACTGTGTTGTATCTTTGAACAAAATCATTTTCTCCGCTTATTCCAATCTACTCAGCTTTAAATGAGTACGTGGTTGGGCAGTGCTATAAATTGTTGAATGCTAGCTATGAGCGCCGAAATAGNCAATTGCAGCACCGGCTGTAATTGGATGGTTGCAAAGGCCCTATAACCACGGATAATAATTTGTGAACCGCTTAGAGACGACCAACGAACTAGGTTGTGATAAAGCGGTATACAAGAACCTCGAATTTTTATTATCTTTATCATTATGAATACAATAAACCCCAATAAATTAATAGATACAGTTTACAAAATGAAACATAGGGAATGTTTACTTTGTACAAACAAGCTGAACGTTGCGTCAGATGATATATTTCCCTTAAGTATGTTAATGAGCGTTTACTATTCACCATTGTCATTGTGTTACCAAAATAAAGCATTACTTTTCTCTTAACCTTTAACGCCCAGATACATTTCATGACCTTAAATTCCTTACAGTCTCAACGAGCCCCCGAAAAGAGGCCATAGTCACTTTAACTACCAACCACATGAAAAGTCATATTTAAAGACCCAAACAAAAATTGGAATTTACATGTAATTTCAATATATTGAACTTGTACATAAGTTATTAAAATGATCCCTAGCGAGGTTAGCATAGTCAATAATAAGGCATAAAACTGGTGTTTTCATAAAATAGCTCACAGGATTTAAAGCATGTCTATCTCTTTTGAGACCCAACTGAATTTTACGACATGACATTATCTGAAGTTCATTTATATGTCTCTTTTACTTGTTATGGAAAGACATGCCGGCCTCAAACAAAACTGATTATGGCTACGGAAATGCAGAAAAATATAGTAAAATGTCCGAGTAACATAGTCGTATCATAAATTATAATCTTCTAAAATATATTACCAGAGAATTGTACTATGGTTTATGGTTACGCATGGAAACATCTATCTTGTTTTGGGGCTGGTATGCCTCTCTACAGCAAGTAAAAGAGAAGCTCAGCTCCGCATAAACTATATACATGTATATATATAAATGAGCTTTAGATAATATGCCATTCATAGCATTCAGTTGGGTCGCAAAAGAGACTGAGATGTTTCAAGTCCGGCGAACTTTTTCCATGAAAATATCAGCCTCAATGTTTCATTATTGACTACGTTAACTTCGTGATGGAACATTTTAATAGCTAATGTACAAGTTCAATATATTCCAACTCCATATGTAGCAGGAGGTTGACATTTAGGGTGAGTATATTCTCTTTCAGTGGACCTGATGAACCTTGTTTTCGCCATTCCACGTATACTAAATCAGCGATTAGATTGGAATTTCCAGATACTCATCAACCAATTATTTATTGAAAGACCATACAAATAGACGTTTTTATGATGTTTATCGTCATTACACGACATTTAATACTCGGCCAATACACAAATGGTTTATGAAACGTCATCTCGAGAAAACGAAGAGAAAAAGAATGAAAAATAGTTCAAATATACTTATACAAATACCGACCACCGTGTAATACGATCTTGGTTTATATTTATTGAGCAACGTTACATTAAAACAGACAATTAGCGATTATGAGATACATGATGATATACAATGAAAATCAAGAATATAATATACGCATCAACACAGACATTATCTTTAAAAACAGTTCGTGGTTAAAAATCAAATGTCAGTTTTCTGCGTCACGTGCCATCGCGATCTCATCAGAGGAATAGGATCGATTTCACCTAAAAAGAC